ACATTAAAACAATCAATGTTTTGAAACAAATCTGGTTGTTTGCAGTTTCTAAAGCAAAAAATAAAACCACCATAGTACTGGAAAATATGTGAATTTATTAATGCTGTGGGTGTTCCTATTTCTTATTGACCTCAAGATACTCTGGAGTTAGACAGGAAGAACAGCAACCCACCTAAGATGCATTTCAACAGAAACCCAAATTGTACTGTAATAGCTGTGTAATTGCTTTAAAGGGGGAACTCTTTGCACCTGCCGATAATACGCTGTAGTTTTGACAAGGTATAGAAACTATGAAGGAAACAGCATTAACCAGCTGAATAGAAGCAGGGATGATTTCATCTATTCTAGTCATTCAAATCAAGTGAGAGCCAGTATTTACTACTATGATGCCAACGAATATGTGGGAGACCAAACCAAAGTCATTCCTACCCCGGTGCATCAGAAGATATCAAAGAGATAAGAGGGCTTTTTAGAGCCATTTCTTTGACTGTTACCTACATTTTGGCAAATAACATTTTTTTCCAGTGGCAGTGCATTTGATTGCATGGCCATCTCAACGTGGCAACTGTTCCTTTTGCAGTATCTGGGAGAACATCACAGCTCCCTGTTCTCTCTGTCTACCATCCTGTGCCCACTATTTTTTGTTTCATGTAAGTCAGAGCAAGCGCTCAGCTCTTGAGGGCATTTTTTGATTAATTGGTGCTCTGGTCTCTGCTGGCATAGTTGGGAAATTTTATGTTCCCCACAGTAGTCCAGGCTGAGAACTGCAGAGGTGCTTTGGTCAGCCAAAGTGAAATTCCTAAATATGATCCATGCCCAAGATCTAAAGACATTTAGAGCTCCAGATGCCCTCATCCTCACTGGTTCTCCAGAGACAAGAGCTTACAAGGACTGGCCAGTGCTCACACAGTCTTTGGGCTTATACTCTTTGGCACTATGCAGCTGTATCCAAAACCACAGACTTCTGTCATTTGCCAGAGGGCTGCAAATTCTGTGCTTTTCTGTTACTTCTAAAATCAGCCTCTCTATTTAAGTATCTCTTTGACAAAAGATTTTATGACCATTCTCAGCATAACAGCCACTTTTCTTTGTCTCAGGCATCAACAGCAAGTGCCAGCCTTTTCACTCCAGGGTATATTTGTTCCCATTACTGTTGGATGTGTTCCTGATCACCTGGACAGGGAGATGGATATTTGCCTTTTTCCTAGTTACTGTCTCGTACCAGTGACATTTGGAAAGTACACACAGGTGAAATGGGGTGATCTTGAAAACTCTGGGCTGGCCAAGGGGATTCTAGTGTTGGAATGCTGGAGGACCTGATGTGAAGTTCAAGGACTTGTCTCTGATTTCAACCTTCTTCACCAGATAAAAAGCAAGTAAATCAGCTAGATTTTGGCTGTGTCTGCATCACAGCAGGGATGTTGGGTAGCCCTTTGAGCTCTGCCTGGTTGTCTCTAGATATAGAGATTCTGATTGGCACTGGGAAACCATTCCATGATTCAGTGGAACCATTTGGTGCACTGAAGATGTCTCAGAAGAATTTTTCGTAGTCTAATGTGCACCCAGTGCAGCTAGAATCAATGGCAGCTATCCCTTGTAAGAGTGGGTTTTGATTTAGCAGTACCAAATATCTTTGTGTATGTTTAACATCTTTATGAAATTAATTATTTATATTTTTTCTTGTCTGAAGTTTAATGTGCATGACTGTAATGTTAATAAAGAGAGACAGAATGTCATGATAGACAAAATAAGAAAGTGATTTCAGAAAAGGAAGGAATTTAAGTGCAGATGACATTGCGGATTTTTACAATAGCCAAGCAGAGATAATTTTTTATTTAGTAGACGTCTTTTTTCAGACAAAGTCAAGATTGTTAAGCTCAATCATCCTACCACAGTTGTTTAGAAAATTGAATTTTTTGCCTTGTTTTTACTCATTGAGTTACTGAATCTCAACAAGTAAGACTTGCCAGAGCGTTTTAAAAAATCAGTGATGGACCCTTGAGAAGTAAGTTTGTATGTGTGAGGTATATTACAAATAACAACAGCAACAGTAGTAATTGACTATGTCTATACGCATGGATCTTATTTTATTATCTCATATCTTTGTGGCTTAGATAATGTAATTGATTTAAGTAACACATAAAAATAAATGACATTTTAGCTTAGATGATGGATCACATTAAAGCTACACTTTGGGAAGAATTAGAATACCTGTTCAGTCTTCTTCATAGCTTGTAGATGGTTTAACAGTGCAAGCCAACACTCGAGTTCTATGAGGGCTGTTATTATTGCATAGTTTGACCTCCTTCTTAACTTCATAATTTCATCACTGACCTTATATATATCTTTGAGCTTTGGTGTATCTTTGGGGAAAATGTATATCCTTAACGTGAAACCTTCAGGAAGGGGATATGGTTTGAGATACATTGTTCCACTGAGAAATCCTCTTTGCTAGTTGAATGTTGCCTATTTCCCACCTGGGAATGTTTTCACTTTAAATTGGCCTACCTAGTTAGGCAACATTGGCAAGACTAAAGAGCCTTATTTCTTAGGGTATTTCTCTATATCATATCCACATTTGTAGATCAGAGCAAGTTCTCCTCTTAAACTTCTCTTCAATAAATTAAGCTGACCACTTCCCTATTACTATGCAATGGTGGCACGTGCATACATTAAATAATCTTGTTTATCTTCTTACTCTTATACTGTACACATAAGCTCATGCTAAACTCATATTCTTGAAATGCTTGCTAGAAGCTGGTATACTACATAGTGATCCCCCATTTATGGAGATTTTTGTAATCTACTCTCTAGTTGGTTGTTAAGTAGTTTGTTAAGCAATAAATAGATTTGTTGAATACTAATGCTTAAGCTCAAACATCAATCAGTATTAACACACCTTAGCAAAACTAATGCTTTACTGGCCTGTATTAATTTTGTGCCTTACTATTCAATAGCAGTGGTTTCAAAAGAGCTCCCTACCACCCTAAAATAACTTACAAAGAAATGAGAAAATTATTCTTTGCCTTGCAGACCACACTATTAAGTATTGATGAAGAAGGTAGTTGTTCTTGTGTGTAATAATGTAACACTTTAGCAGTTAAATAGTAAACCAAATCATCAGAAAACACTATAACTTTTTTTTGGAATCACATTCTCTGATGTATACTGTTGGTCACTGAATGAAATTTTTGTCCAAATGCATCTTTTAAAATATTTCTGCATTTTTTAGTTCGTAACTATTTCAGCCAGTTTCTGTTTATTGTACTATCCTTTAAGCCACTTGTCTGTTTCCTTGGAAAGTGCAAGAGGGATAAAAGTGATCATGTTTTAATGAGTAGTATTATGTTGATAGCATCTTTTCACCCAAGTATCACAGGCTCTTTCTCTATCCTTTGCCCTTTGCTAGAGGGGCATCAGGGTGTACAGTTTTTTTCCATTTCATTTCCATAGAGAGATGAGAGTTGATGGTAATCTTCAAAGGGGCTTCTGTATTCTGGTGGCAGTCAAAAGACAAATCCTGATGATTTCCAATTTGTCTTGGGTTGCAGGCATTTGAGAGGAGTCTGCTTCTTTGAGTCTGAGTCTGCTTCAGAACCTCCAGCTTTTTAACTCATCCAAGTTCATATACAACACCAGACAAACTGAAACTGAATACTTTTTATTACAGCAAAGCCAAAAGTTATCTTCTTGAATGCAAAATTGGGAACTAGGTATGAAAGACAGAAACTGGGAAACTGCAATTGCAAAACTGTACCTCCAGACCGTTCTTAATGCTAAAGGTCTTCTCTAAGGCTGTTTTTTGACTTTATGGAATGATCCTCAGCAGAGCTGGCTTGCAGTATTGCTGCCTGGGGAAATGAGAGTGGATAGCAATGAAAGGCAATAATGCCTTTGCCCAGCGTGGCTGCCTAGGACTACATAATGCCAAACCTTATCTGAGCTAGTCACCTAAGGGGATAGTAATGTTCTCTCTGCTTTGGCCCATTATTTTACAGTTTTGTAGGTAGTTGCCATCCTGTATTTTGGAAATTCATATATGAGCAACTTCATACAACCGATCTTTTGAAGGGATTACATACATCAGCGTCAAAGGGGCTAATTAGCAGAATTATTCATTTATGGTTTAATTTTAAGGAGTTACTGGGTATGTATAACTAGGGTTTTATTTCAAAATGTCACATATGAACAGCATTAGATACTTTTGCTATCTATGTTATCCACGTGTAGGTTGCAAATAGAATTAAACAGATATATACTTATATACCTGTGTTTTCTACTTCTCCTAAGCTCAAAAAAAAATTGTGAAAGGGTTGCTGTTCCTACGCATTGCTCACTCTGTAACAGTACTAACTCAGACAGGCTTTATCCAAACCTTCTCCTTAAGCATGCTTCTCTATCAGAGTCCTCTTTGGAGCTCAGATTTGAGAGCTTCCTAAGAGATGCAGTTAGGAATGGATAACTTCAGAGGTAATTCGGTAATACATGCATACCAGTCTTTTAGCAAGCTCATTGGTTTGTGAATAGAGGAGAATAGCTAGTTATCTCCAAGAGCATTTTGAACCTTTCTCCCATTAAGATGTACTTCTCCAGCACAAGAAAGTTTTTAAGTACTTGATAAAATAAACTTTTTTTTTTTCTGTAACCATTTGCATGGTTCAAAAAAAGTATTTTAAGAGTACCTTGATTACAGTAACTGCAGCTTGATTATTTAAGGTTTTACATCTGTATTTGACTACTGTGTGATTTACCAAAATGTAAAATGCTCACATTTCATTTGCATGTCATTTAAAAGGAGATATCAGAGTTGAATCTCTTCAGGACTTTTTAACCAAGGAAAGACTTGGACTTTCTAAAAATACCTATTGAGTATGCACATAAGAGACTGTACTAATCCAGGTGCATGGAACATTCTAAATTTAGGTCTATTGAACTTAGGCCTGCAGCCTAGTCAGGTAGGGAGGGTGAGCCTTATGGTGTGCTGTTTTCTTTCTCCCCAGGAATGAGACAAGGTAATGATGTTGGCACACAGTATCGCTCGGCCATCTACACATTCTCTCCTGAACAGATGGAAGCTGCCTTAAGATCTAAGGAAGAATACCAAAAGGTAACACTGGGAAGGGCATGGAATTGCTTCACATGTGAGCAGAGGTCAAAGACGTCACTGATTATCACAAAATCACTTCTTGTGCTGTGCGTTGTCTCTGTGTTGCTATTGGAGCTCCTCATTCCAGTACAGAACTTGCATCGTATTTGCTCTGAATTCCAGCTTCTCTGAGATTTTTTTGTGTGTGTGTGTGTGAGTCATTTTATAACTATTCAGAAAGAAAAATAGTTACTTGTGCAGAGATATTTTTAATCTCTTTTACAATTTTATGTGGGTGTGCCAGAGAAGTCTGTGATCTTAAAGCTATTCAAGTGTATCTGGAACCCTCACTCTGAATGGTGTATCCAAAATCTCAGACCCAAGAGTTCTTGAACACTAGGGGAAAGTCCTGATCAGTATTTGAGCTTGGTAACCCAGGGTCACCCCCTTTCTGCTTATAAGATGCTTCTATCAAGCTATTCCATAAATGTCTTCAATTAAATGTGACAGCCCCTGACTTAGTGAAACTATTTGTTTTGACACCAGGATTTGTGTGAGAGAAGATCTACCTTTCTATACACAGTTCTATTTTTCAGTGAAGATGGATTCTGTCTCTTCTCTGCCACATAAGCTATTATTTAACTAAAGATGGAGGGATTAGTGGCCTATAGTGTTGCTGCATTGCAATTACTGTCTGATCTGCCTTGTGGTCTTGTCAATGCAAGATTCAGATTCTGCAGCAAAGATACATAAATTCTTTTCATTTATATGATAAAACTGCACACCTAGGACATCAAGTCTATCGAGAGTAACTATTAAGTAGTGCTAAAAGAATATCAGCTTTCATACATTCATTTATGCTATGAATTCACAAAAGTGTTATGTTAATGAATATGGGGTTTTGGTGGATATTTAATGTTAAAATTAAACAACTGGGTTTTTTGGAGAGTGAGGCTATATCAGTCAAAAACATCTACCAAGGTCCGAAAAGGAGGTGCATGTGCTGAAGTCTTGTGCGGTAGTTTTGTTTTCCTAAATGTGTGTATGACATTGGTGGGCTGAGCTATGTGTGTACTTTAGAACTGGTTTATATACACAGTTGGTGTTATTTTGCATGCAAAGAGATGCTCTGAACTGCATTAACTAATTTGCAAGTCGTGCTTAGCAGTGTGAAAACTGTGCATGTAAATTAAGTGTTCAGTGACATATATATATTTTCTTGTGAGTAGCTGAACACATGGGGATAAGTCAGTCGTGCAGGTGTTTATTAACTGAGTGGTTTCTGAAGGTTTGGTGTTCATATTTAATATGCAGAACTTCTTTCTACTCATTGTTTACCTTAGATCCATTCCATTTCCAAATTGTTTTTGTTCCTTTCTGTTAGCATCTGCTGACCAACATCTCACTGTAAATCCTACAGCTTACAGTTTGCTTTCCCAACTCTATTATTCTCTGCTGTTCTTTATCATTAGAGTAATACAGACTTGAAAGCAAAATTATGAGGTAGGAGATTGCAATATGATATTTCAGAAACTTCCATCATCAAATAGGTTTTCTTAATGGCACAATTTAAAATTTATCTACTTTGAAGTCTATCACCATTTGAAAAGTGTGTATAATTAGTACATTTATATAATTAGGCGCAACTCCATAAGTGATCACATGTAGAGTTTGTTTTTGCACTGAAGTAGAGGGATGGAAGGGTCTGTGTTCACCAGCTAAGGAAACACAACAAACACGTTTTGAAATTCCTAGAGGATATGTGGTTTCTATGTATTATTAACAACAATATCCACAATATTATCTACTGTGGTATTGCAGTAGCAGTAGCATGGCTGTATGAGAAACATACTGAGCAAACAACATGTTCAGGGATCTTTTTCATATGAAATGTTTTGCATTATTTTAATGTAAAATAGCCACTTTTCCGTATTATTGCAGTAATTTAAAACAAATATCAAGCTCTTCTGGCAGTGACATTGTGCATATCTATGCATGTGATAATAACAGATAAAAACATGCTTTTCCCATGAAAAGTAGTAGTGCATACACCGAATAGGGGAAGGACTAACAAATATTGGAAGTACAATAACTGCAGTATGTGTGGATGGTTCTAGAGTTTCTTGGCACAACAGATGAATAAAACCAAAATGCAGTTTATTTGTTTGTTCACTGGATAATTTTGCATATGCTCTTAGATGGTATTTTTTAGCTGAGGACCTAGAAAAGAGCTAAGAATGGCCTCCAAACAGAAGATATGTGTTTGCTAGATGATTTTTTTTCATAGACAGGTGAGGCTGTTAACTTAAAGGAAACATTTTTCTTCACTGAGTGTAGAAACCAGCCAATCCCACAGTTTATATCATTAATTCCTTCCTCCAGAAAGGCTAGCCCGAAGTGCTAGCTCCTCTGTGGAAGTCAGATAGCTTTGTTCAGCTCTGTCTACATTTAGCAAGCAGTGTGGACTGAGAGGAGCAGATCGGCAGAATAGAACCTTTTGTACTGAGGATCCAGAACACAATACATGCATTTCAAGAGGATTTGCCCTTTTGTAGGTATAGTTTGGTCCTCAGAACCACATGCCACTAGCAGGTGGAAGTCAGTGATGCATTTCTGGTGTAGCTCCTTCAAAATGAGTTCACCTATCCCAATGGATAAGAGATTTATTACAAAAGCACACTTCTGCTCGAAATTGAAACGCTAATGTAGCTTACACCTTTAGGGTAGTGCTATGCTTGAGTGGAGAAATACTGTAGTTAAGTGCATCATGTTCCTAGCTCCTACCAGCCTATGAGTGGGAATCATACTGCACATTGAGTCCAAGTATCCTGCAGGGTTACATCTATTTTAAGTTGTGAAACTTGTTGCTGATTTGTGCAGCTGTTTTAACAGCTGAGAAATGGCGATACAGCAATGAATATGCATTGAGCCATGTGTCTTTAGCTCTTGATGAAACTGAATGCATACAGTCAGAGTTGGCTAGTGGAAATACATATTGTAATACAATAGTGCTGCCAGTAAATTGTAACACAATGTAAGTGTAATCAGAAAAACATAAAATGAAGGCCAGGGCTTGGTGAAAGTACTGCGAATGAGCTGTTCCATCAGTTTTGCCTGAAGCTGAAGTTTTATAATGCAGTTGAACCTGGGGTTACTCAATTTTCAAGACAGTTGCTAGGCTGGATTTGGTTTCCAAATGAATTATGTAGGCAATAATCCAGATAGTGAAATCAGGGTGGGAAGAAGTTTGTATTTCTTTTTTTTCTGAATAATTTGAAGCATTTCTTTTGTCAAGCACTAACACTATTTTTTTCGGACTGCAAGAATATATGGAGTCACTCCCTTCTGTTTGGCTTATATTAAAGTAGTATACCAACAATAACACTGAGAGTGACTTTACACCACAGTAGTACCTCACAGTACTGGCCTGCGGAAGATGCAACGGTCGCTGCAGCACAGCAGCCTCAGAGGTACTGTGTAACTTTCATAAGCTTATTGTGAGGTGATGAGGGAACAACCCAACAAAACCCTCAGCTGCAAAATCAAGAACTTCATATTTCATATCATAGAAAAGAGATTTAAAAGCTGGAGTTTCCTGGCCAGTGCAATGAGCTTTGGAGCAGCAATCTGCAAGGAAATGGTGAGGATTGTATTTGTCAATGCTGTAGGTAAGGTTGTTTACAGACCTACAGGATTGATGGTTCTAAGTCTTCCATTGCATCAAGGAATACCTTGTGGAGTGAATTTACAACATTTAGCTGTGGTTTTATGTGATGTGCTGTGTGAGTTTAGAACATGCTTTGGCTGGGAGATAGTTTTTCACATGTTTTTAGGCTGGGAAAAGTTAAATAGCTCTTTTAAAAAGCAGGTTGTTATTAAAGCAATACAATAGAGCTGATAAAAAAATAACACCTGCTTACTCCTCTTCAAATTATGTCTTATTTCAGGGCTTTACGTATCGAATTATCTTTGCTTCACCCTGATGTGAATAGTAGCTACTTGATTCCTGATTGATGGTGGTAGTTTTTATGAAAATAAGCAAATCTGATCTGATAAGCTAAGCCATTATTTGTTTTGTAATCACTCATCTGTGCTACAGAGATACCTTTTTTAAGTTCATCCCTCCTGAGAAAGAGAAAGCTACATTCAGCTATGGATAAGGAGGTTTTGTGTGAAGAGTGGCAACAAGATAAAAGTTTTAATGGCATGAACTGAGGATACTGTAGTTAGCTTGTTTGAGTTTCTTAGAATATATGTCTGTGAGATGAGCCATACTATTGTTAATATTGATTAACAGCCCACTTATGCTTTCTTTGTTGAATTTATGCATCTATATGATGCATTAATAAAGTTTTATGGTTTGTACTGTGTCTGGTTTTTTGTACCTTTTTGATAGGGAATTCTGTGATGGTAGGCATGTTTTTCTTTGCATCCGTAACATACAACATTAATTTACCCAATATTATAGTTATTGTTTATCTGACTTCTTTTTCTTAACAATTTTTCCTTTATTTCTGTGCTGTAGAATCTCATCTTATGTTGTGGGAGGAAAAACATCTTAATATCACCATCAAGATATCTTTATTTTGAAACTATGAAATGTACAGGATGTGTATGTCCTTATGAAAATGGAAATGAGCACAGGAGGACTAAGGACACCTCTCAAAATTCACTGAGGTTGATGAGAAGTGGCACCATCCTATGCAAAGTGCAGTATGCTACCACTTGCATGCTATTTCTGTTCCCCTGGATGCAGCAACAGCACATGTTGCTTGTTTTTATCAGTGCTGAAGAAAGCAAGATTTTTTTTAGCTTTTGATTCTGCATATATGCTGTTCATTTGATCAAAGGCTGGGTGTTTCACTTAGCCCTTTGACTATTGCAAATACAGCTAATCATGCATTTGAAATTAGTACTATGAACAATATTATGAAACTATACTTTCTGTTTTACAGTGATTTTTTCATCTGGGTGGTCATGGAGTTTAGCAAAGAAGCCATTTGCTTTATTGTACTGTGAAT